CCCCCCCCCATAATTAACAGTTATCTCTTAGTAGTTCTAAACCAAACAGATGCGAGGACCTGAAGGATACAAACAGACATTCAAAAAGCCTCAGACTGCATAGAAACGGCAAACATTTTACATCATGAAGAACCAGGAAGTGCTCACATATAAAAGCATTATTAAAAAAAAAAAAACAATAATAGTAATAAAAACAAATTCATGATGAGCCCCTAAAAATACAATTGCTTGATTGTGGCTGAGATAGAAGCAACAGCTTGTTCACAGGGCTTGTTTTTTTTCCCTTTTACCTTGTGTTGAACTATGTGTTAAACAGCGGCAATGCATTGTGGGATGCGTGGAACAATTACACGCTAGGGGAATGCCACAGTTGCCAAAAAAATCCATACTATCGCACAGACACGCTCAGGCATACAAATTCGGCTATTCTGACTGAAGTTCAGTTGTTTTCAAAAGCGGGCTCTGTGCCTCACCGCTTTCATTGACTCCCAGCTACACAAACTCCACGTAGTTCTCCGGAATTAACCCTGTCTTCCCGTCCAAGGTGCCCTCCAGCCAGCCTGGTTCTCTTGACGGATGAACTAAGAGACAAAGATGCAAACGGAAGATCATTTTAGATGCCACTGACAACTTTATCCCGTTTATTCTCTATTTCCACAGTGCGAAAGGAATAAGGACCGTTCCAGATTCAAGTTATACCAAAAATAACAACCTGATTTCATGGCAATTCGTACATATTTTAGGAGGTGGCTAATTTCACGAATGTGTACGATTTTTGCTAAATCATATGCATTTTATGAGTTCCCCAATTCGTATGAATGACCTACCCCTAACCCTAAACCTAACCGTCACTGGGGTCTAGACAAATCGTACGAGTGAGGTCGTACAAATTCGTATGAATTAGCCATCTCGTAAAATACATGCGAATTGGTCGAGAGATAGCATTGAAAATTATCAAGTTGACTGTATCTCTCAAAGAGACCTAACAAATAATCTTTCGAAGCATTTTGAAACCACTATTTAATAGGGCTGGGTATTGACACAAATTGCACGATTCGGTTTAGATTCACAAGCTTGTGATTCAATTCGATATCAGTTATTTTGGATGGATGCATCAGGTACAGTACATGGCAAATTTTCTCAAGGAAAAAAAATCTCAAATAATGCTGTAAAATATACATGAGAGTTAGTTGGTGCCGCATTACATGAAGGTTGAAATGAACTGATTTGTATACAAACACTTTTATTATAACAATAATATTATAATACCAACTTTACAATTACATAGGCTAAATTCATTTTTTGAAATATAAACATTTAAATGGTGGCTGTCATCAAAACATGATATTGAAGAATAGTAAAAATTGTAATGAATATGTTATATGGTGCATATATTTAGCAAAATGCTCCTCGGTAGAGTTCATTTTTCTAGCTGACTAACGAGTTTATGGTCACCGAATATGTGATGTTACGTGATTTACGTGATCTTTCTGAGGTTGAAACACTGATTGAGTGATTCTATGAGAAGGGACACGGATTTCGGTAAGTTGTACTCTTTCTTTTAACACACCTTCCAATGTTTATTTATGTTTATTTTGTGCTGTAACTGGTATTAAAGCGGAGGAGATGATCAGTTCATGTGCGCTTTGCACTGCCACTTCTCTTGAACTGAGGCGCTACAGTGATCTGCTTATTACACGGCTGCTTGCCACAAAAGTAAATAATTAGACATGAAACCTTGATCAGCGGCAGCGGAGTGATACATTAAGCATATAATTACTAACGGTCAAATTGACTCGTACACTTGATCTGATCTACTGCTAAGCTGTGTCAAGTGTCAGACTGCGGCAGCTTGGAGCTCTGATACCTGTTAAGGGGTAAAAGGTGGAACAAAGCAGAGATATCAGTTTGCTCCTCTTATGCGGACGCTAAAGCCTCTAACCTGCTTAGCTAACCAGATATACGCAATACACCCACTGAGGGCTAAAAATGGAGACCCCCCTTGCTGGGGACTTACCATTCTCGAATATGGTGCCTGCGATAAAGGACAGCTCAGAGTCATGTTCAGCCTTGCAGGCATATAGCGCACGTGCCTTTCGTAGCGGAGGACTGGAGAAGATACAAATATATATATACACATCAATCTTTTAAAACTTTAAATCAAGTGCATCATTTGCAGATTAATTAATTTATTTGCAATCAATATCAGAAAAATACCCACATGAAAGTAATTCAAAGACATAGAGTTAAAAAAAAAATTAACATGAAGGTGGTACATCAAGCTGGAACTGCTCCAAACGTACGCATGTTTAAGCAGGCTAATGCACTAATTTCATTTTTTTTAAAAACAAAAAAAAACATTGAGTTCAAATGTTCAGTGCTTTAACATCAGTAAATAAAACATATCTCAAAAGTACCATGATATCACCATGGCTTGTTGAAAATGATGCCAAGGGAATGTTATGCTTTATTATTTATTTATTTAGATCATGTTGGTTTTTGAAATACCTTGGTGTTACCATGTAAATACTATAGTACATACATGTATTAATCACTATGTCCCATATTATATAATAGGGATGCACCCATATGAAAATACTGGATAATATTAATATTTGATACTGTTTTGTGTAAAAAAAAAAAATAAATAATAATAATAAAGTACTAAATAAAACATAAGTCATTTTAAATGCTACAAGTGAATTATGAAACAAAATAATCATGTACGGTAAGAAAAAATGGGTATTCTTAATGGATGGATATTATTACATTATTAAATTATTAGTGTTTTTGAAGATTAAATTTAAGTGAGTGCTAGAAGACAGAAAAGGTAATCTATACATAAAAATAAGGGCCTTGAGCATTCGTAATTAAATATACAATAACAACTGATACTGATACTGATAAATAATAATAAAAAAAATCTAATATCAGCTAATGACCATTATGGTACAGATATAATGTGCATTCCTAGTATGTATATATAACATTTCAATAACGTTTAAAAAAAGTACCAGAAAGTACAATAGTATTTATTTATTCTCCATTAGATAATATCAGCTAATGACCATTATGGTACAGATATAATGTGCATTCCTAGTATGTATATATAACATTTGAATAACGTTTAAAAAAAGTACCAGAAAGTACAATAGTATTCTCCATTAGATACCATAGTGTACATTAATATACCATAGTATCACCACAGCAGTATAAGGATTAAGAAAAATATGCACTTTATTTTACAGTCCTGTTCCACGTGTACCTATCACAATAATTGCACTAACTGGGTAATAACCCTAAACTTACCCCTAAACCTAACCTCAATTTATGCAGTTACCTTATTTTAGCCAGTACTTTCTTAGGTAAGTACACTGTATGTACACGTACTGTAAAATAAAGTGCAACCAAAATTTGATTGGTGTACATACATTTATTCGGATCATTAAACATGAAATACATCATCATACACAGGGGCGGACCTAACATTTAAACGAGGTAAGTGGCCGCTTAGGGCCCCCGGGAAATCAGGGGCCCCCCTGATATTGGCGAAGCATATTTGCAGCGTTGAGCAATGTAGCCAATCACAGACATATACGTTAACTTCTTGAACGCAATGACCAGAAGTGTTTAAGTTGGAATCCACTCACCGTGCAAAATGCCGAGTTTTTGTCAAGTGCTGAGTTCTGAAATCTCGGGAATCCTCTCTTTATAGCAAAGTGTAGATACGATGTAAATAAGAGATTAATTTTTTGCAGTGTAGAGAGCTTATCAACGCAACGTAGGAAGATCGCAATGAACTGAAGTGAGTGACAGCTTTTAGTGACTATATGAGGGAGCGCTCTTTGCATTCATTCTAATACGTAACTCGTGTTACTTGTAATGCGTTACCCCCAACACTGGTTATAATAATGTATCAGAACAGAGATATTCACCTCAGTAAAGAAAGTATTGTGTTTCAAGTCATAATTTTATTTATCTTGATGTTTCAAAATGACTCTCTGTGTGCTTTTCCGAGGCGCGCCGGCTCAAACTGCCGTGCACTCGTATAAATGCACGGATGCGATGACTGGAGATTTTTGCTTAATAACAGATTAAATTTTTTTTTTTTACATTTGTTTCTCGGCAAACGCTACCGTATGCCTTCAGAGCACTTGGAATATGGAATGATTTGCATGGGATAAATTTGTGTTTGGAAAAAGATTGAAAAAGCTTACAATTTATTAAATGGATAAGTGCAAGCATTTTTTTTTTTTGGATAATGTCTTTTTTTGTGATCCGAATTTTTTTTTAGGTAGCCTAATATGGCTTTAGAACAGCATCAGGTTGACTAATTACTGGTTGCGAAGGGATAAATAAACTATAAACTATGAGAGCGAGCAAGCAAAACAAGGGTTAAGCCCCATTAAGAAGAATGATAACTATAAAGATAACTATAGCGATAACGATATTAGCATCCACACCAGCGAACGATATCATCTGTAAACGCACGCTCCTCTGCCGCTTTAAATTCTCGAGCTCATTATAGCAGGATGGATTCTGATTGGCTGTCAATGTTTTTTATCACTCATCAGCTGGAAAAAATCGTTCTGAAAGTGAATTCAGCGATATCGTTTCTCTGTGCCTTTATCGTTATAGTTGTGGTGTAGACTCTGCTATTCTTTAATATTGAAAACGATTTTTAGAACTATATCTTTATCGTTATCTTTATAGTTATTGGGGTTTTAGGTGTAAAAGAGCACATAGTTATTGTGTTAGGGCCCCATACCTGGAATTTGCTTAGGGCCCCCAACAGGTCCGCCCCTGATCATACATACAGTTTATGCAATGACAGAAATGACACTTCCCATAAAGAACGGTATGTTACTACCCGCAGTGAATCAGAGTGATGAAGTTAGTTGATGTATATGCTCAGATGTGAGGAGGGAAGGTGTGAATGTGCACACCGAACGATTAGAATACTGCACTGCTATAGATAGCTGCCTAAGCAGGCCAGAGCAGGACACACACCTGACGGGGGAGGATTCGCTGGAGGTGCTGGAGGCCAGCTGGGGGCTGGAGGGGGCAGAGAACATCGGCCATGAGGGGGAGCACGGTGAGGTGGGACTGGGTGAAGCCGGGCTGCGACAAACACACACGCAGGCACGCACTATGTGAACCCAACACCAACATTTATGTTAAGGCAGCTGCTGAGCTGCAGCTTTCACAAGAGACTTCAAGAGGGAGTTGCATCATCGGTTTAAAGAAATAGACATAAATGCAGTTAAACATGCTTGAGACTTTCATGCTAACAGGAAAAGTTCAGCCAAAAATGACCATTCTGTCATAATTTACACAACTCTTGTCTTTCATGTCCTGTGTGAACACAAAAGGAGATGTTTTGACGGATGTTCATGTCAAGCTCCTGAAATGACAGCCATTGGTCACTGTACATACTGTATGTTGCATGTGAAATACTGTAGCAGTGTGAATATTTGCCAAAGCATCTCTTTTTGTCTTCCACTGGACAATGAAAGTCCACTGGTTTGGTGAGTAAATGATGACTGAATTGTCATATTTAGCGGAACGGAGTTAAACATGCTGAGGAAAATCATTAGTCATAATTTGTGTTACTCATGTAACATGAGTAATCTCACATTAATCTGACAGGGTTTGTATTTATGTAAAAGGTTTCTGTCCCCCCCCTTCAAAAGTGTCTATGAAAACTTCAATGCTGGCTGTTAAACTGAAAACTGGACAAACTTACCTTGTCGACATGCTGCTGCGAACTTTTGGATTTTGACTGTAAATAATAGAAACAATATTAACAGGTTAAACTATTTTTTTGTCTCAGCTTAACATTCATGAATATGCAAAAAAAGAGATGAACTAAACTATTGAATTATTATTTAATAATAATAATAATAATAATAATAATAGTAGTAGTAGTGCTGTCAAACGATTAATTGCGATTAATCGCATCCAAAATAAATTGTTATTCACATAATATATGTGGGTGTGTACTGTGTATATTTATAATGTATATATAAATACACACACATGTATTTATATATTTAAGAAAAATTGTATGATTATATATTAAATATATTTATATATACTATATATATTGTATGAATATAAATATATACATGTAAATGTTCTCAAAATATATACTGTATGTGTGTGTGTGTGTATTTATATATACATAATGTACACAGTACACACATATATTATGTACACAAAAACTTTAATTTTGGATTTATTAATTAAATTAATTTAATTTGGATCAATTAATTGTTTGACAGCACTAAATAATAGTATATATCAATAGGAACACGTGCGTGTGTGTGTGTGTGTGTGTGTGTGTGTGTGTAAAAGTTAGGAGATCCTATTGAATTCTATGGTTTTCTGTATCAGGACAAAATCAGGTCAGGTCCTTTTTTAAAATTTGGAAAGTAAAACCTCAGATGAACAACATCACATGACATAATGCACCTTGTTCTTATTTATTTAACAAAAAGCCAAGATGGAAAACCCATGTGTGACAAAACTAGTACACCCTATGATTCAATTGCCTGTAGATCCACTTTTAGCAGCAATAACTTGAAATAATCATTTTCTGCATGACTTTATTAGTCAATCACATTGTTCTGCAGGAATTTTGTCCCACTCTTCTTTACAGCATTGCTCTAGTTTATTGAGGGTTGTGGGCATTTGTTTGTGCACAGTATTTGAGTCTGGATGAGCTCTGGACTTTGCTATATTGCAACACCTTGATTCTTTTATTTTTCAGCCGTTCTATTGTAGATTTGCTGGGGTGCTTGGGATCATTGTCCTGTTGCATCACCCAATTTTGGCCCAACTTAAGCCGTTGGACGGATGACCTCACATTTGACTCTAGAATACTTTGGTGTACAGAGGAGTTCACGGTTGACTCAATGAGCTCAATGAGTTGTCTGGCATTTCTCTGAGTGTTACACGGTCTGATCTTGGGGTGAATTTCCTGGGATGTCTACGTCTGGGAGGATTGGTGTCTGTTTTGAATGTATTCCACTTGTGAATAAACTTCCTCACTGTAGCATGATGTACTTCAGATTGTTTAGAAATGGCCGTATTACTCTTCCCAGATTGATGGCGACAACAATTCCTTCTCTAAGATCATTGCTGATGCCTTTCTTCCTTTTCTTCCTTGCAGTTGTGTTAACACACACCTGAAGGCTTCAGACCAGCAAACTGCTAAAACTTCTGCTTTCTTAGAGGTGCTCAGACTTGCTGATGATCAGTTAATCAAAGGCATTTGGTTAGCAGTGCCTGATAACTTACCCTCTTCATTTCTGTTAACAGTAAGGGGGTCCTAACTTTGTCACACATGGCTTTTCCATTTTGGCATTTCAACATTTGAAGTGGATCAAAACCTTTCATCAAAGTTGTCCTAAAACCAAAATGCGTTCTTGTCTTAGGACAACTTTGATTCACTTTTTTTTTGATCCACTTCAAATGTTGACTACTGTGTGTGTGTGTGTACGCCTGAAACTCTTGCACTTTCTAAATGTTAAGGAGTGTCAAATATTTCTATTTGTTTCAGCATTCTGACCGCCAACATTGGCTCAACCAATGGCACAAGTTTGGAGTGCGACTATCTGTTTGTCCAACCACTTGAAGATGGAAAACCCCGAAACCTCACCTAAAACTGCATATTTTTGCACATCTGTTTGGTGACAGAAATGATACACATCACCATTGAGCTTAAAGAAACAATGCTGCTGCTGTATGAATATCATCATAATCAGTATTGTATTTGCACAGAAGCAAATGAAGCTGCTTATTGGACACTGTGGAATTTGTAGCCAAGCATCCGTCACACACAAACACACTCATCACTAACCTGATCAGCATCTATTCACAGTAGATAGTGGGGCTGCCATGGGAACAGCATGACCTCAAGTGGTGAGTTAACTTTAATAATCTAAATGCCCATAGATTAGTAGTGTTAATGGACTCTCACTTAGTCAAAGCCAAAATGCACTATGCAAGAGTGAAAAATTGAAGGGGGTCTGAATACTTTCCTTACCCACTGTACATATAAGCCCTGTCCTTCTGTATTTACTGTTTATAAAATGGAAAGTTCCAGCGCTCATTACTCAATAAAAGCACTGTAGAAATGATAAAACATGCAATATACAGTTATGACACCAAATATCTGTTTATCTAGATATTTAACCTTGCCAGGAACTATATCTTCCAGCAGAAGGATAAAACCTAATGATTTGGTTAATAAAATAATTTTAACTAATATATGTTTATATTGTGTTGGCGAGGGCATCTCATTTCAAATATTTATATGTGATTTTAAAATAAATGTGAATGGATCCATTTTTAGTAACCATTAACTATTTATATTGATTTCTTTGTGGCAAAGTCATAGCAGATATTAAAATGTGTAATCTGTTTATTTTTTGTAATGAATAGAAATAAATTGATCAAAAATATAGAGAAAGCTAAAAAGAACAGTATTTATTTAAAATATATATTTTGTAACATTAAGAATATATTACTGTCACTACTGTCACTGATGAATAAAAATAATAATCTGTTAAAAAAGTAATAAATTAAATTAAATTAAATAAAAACCCTAAACTTTTGGTAGTGTTTCACGGTTTCCACAAAAATATTAAGCACCATAATTTTTGTTTCAACATTAATAATAAATGTTTTTTTGAGCACCAAATCAGCATATCAGAATTATTTGTTTATGAAAAATTATAATGATGAATAAATGACATTTTAAAATATATTCAAACAGAAAACAGTTATTTAAAATTGCAATAACATTTCACAAGATTACTGTTTTTAATGTACTTTTGACCAAATAAATGCAGCCTTGGAGAGCGCATATCTTCTTTCAAAAACATATTTACTTTATTCTCTTCAGAACTTTCACTGACTCAAATTTGGGATCAGATCGGACAGGAAGTAGAATATTATGGTGAAACTTGCTGGAATCTCTGACACCAAGCCTGACTATACTAGATGTTCAATGCCACCTATTGGCCAAAGCTTCGTAAAAATGGACCAAATCTTGTTATAACTTTGGAATCATTTTGCCCAAATCTTCATGTTTATTACTATGGCCATTGGTTTTCTCAAGATTCAGTTTACAGATTTGCTTACTGTTTTTCTATAATTCCAAAAAAGTTACTAATGAAGAAGCCGAGGAGGAAGTCATCATTTTGGAAAAGCTTCTATATTTTGATAAGAAATGCATTATTAATGACACATAGTTATCAATAGAAAATTGATTTGAGAATACCATGTGAATTTGGTCACAGCGCCACCTACTCTCAATAAACTGGCCATTTCTCCAGGGTGTTTCCGTGTCTACTGTGGCAAGAGATGCATCCCACAACACTAATCCATACAAACAGTTAAGAAAATGAACGAATGGAGAGATATATTACCTTTATGTGTTTGACATGTTTACTTTCCATAATATGTATTATTACAATTTCCTATGGCTTTCATATGAGTGTAGATGTTTGCATAGACTTTCCCTTTGCATTCAGCTACTTTAATTTCTAGTAAAGGTACCACTTTCATTTTCAAGACTGTGAGAGCCAACATAATTCAACTGATCACACGTTTTCTCGAGTAGTTCATCAATCTCCAGGTCTTCATTGATTTACAACCTGCTGGGTCCTCAGGGGCCTTTGAGATGGGTATATCAGCACTGCCACACGTAATATATACGTCTATATATAGACGACAGCATTCCTCTCAGTCCTGTAGCTTTGAGCCGCCAATCCTCACATCTGATTTACAACCGAACACACACACACAAATACACACACAGAGCAGTGCTGTGACTATTAATCTCATAATATCATAGATGTTTACCTAGATTAACTTTCACTGACTACAAAACAAATAGGTGTTGCTGGGATTGCAAAAACAGGATTTTCTGCTAAATCCACAAAAATATTTAGATACTACATTACTATCATGCCATATTTAAATAAACTGCTGAATTTTATTTTAATGTTTCTGCATTTCACGGCAGTCAGTATATTTTTTTGCAATAACCTAAAGTTGGTTAATTTAGTTCTGTAACTCTCTGCATTTATGTAAATGCAGTTAATCATATA